GCTGTTTAGGCTGACCATTTGGTCATGTAGATTTTTGATTTAATGATGAGTATGGTTGCAGTGTGCTTGCACAGGGTTTAAAACAGCTACAGTAGACGTTATTTATGTGCCCTACCGAATGGAACCATATACTGAGGAAATTTATTAAATTTACGTATTGATATCTGAAGCCACAACGCATATTCAAAATCAAAACCTTTTGCAAGTCTGTAAGAAGATGAAAAAAGAGAGACATAAAAAATATGGATGGATGTAGAGGACAGAATTAGAAGGGGCTTCACTTCAGCCACCTACTTGAAGAGGAAAGAGGCCTCTTGTGGAGAGTGGAGAATGTGGAGAGAATTCCAGACAAGGTGCCATTCGGGTTTGTTCACAATTTTTCTGGGAAAAAAAAATTAATCTTCTGTCTCTTATCAAAATATGTAGAGGGAATACAAATGCTGAGAAGCCAGAAATGAAGTCTCTTTTCTTTCCCTTTTCCCCCCTAATTTATTACGAAGTCTTGATAAAGTCAATTGGCAATAAAACATAGCAGGTGTAGGAAAGAGTTGACAAGCTCTCATTTTAAATGTAAATGAGGAATCAATACAATATTTCTTATATTGCATCATTTGATGTGAGTCTGAATGGTCTGATATGGTCTGAAAAGCAGACACAGTAGTATATGAAAATGTTCTGTACAGGCATGACAAGCATCACAAGAAAAGAAAAAGACAGTCTCTACTCCTAGCCAGTTTTAGAAAGCTTAGTACCTCTTAATACTTCTTAATAATAATTACCGTGGAATTATATTTGATTTAGAGAATCAAATCTAAAAGTAAGTAATGATGGCAAAAACTCATTACTAAATAATTTCCTGGTTAGCTCCATATTTTAACATGTTTTCTTAAGATACACTGTGATTTTATTAATACCATTTCTTAAGTATCACAATTAACAACATCATAACATCATAAGGAGGATGAATGAGATGTTGGCTCTAGATGGGAGGATAAAAAAGCCACAGTCTGGGTAAAAGGCTGAATACACTGTCAATCCCAGCACAGTCCAGAAAATTACATAGCCGTGTAAGCACAGGACACAAAACTGTCTCTTCAGCTCTACAGTTATGTCTAAAAGTATAAGGAGTTTCCGAAAGACTGTTAGGATTAAGGTTTAGATGTTTGCAATCAATAAACTGCAGTATATAATGAAAACAAAAGCATGATAGTGTAATTGTTATAGTAGACAAAGGGAATAGCTAGATAAATAAGAATCAAAATGCATACCCTGCTTCAATCAGTGAGTCTAAACCCCAATATACACATCACGTGTTTTGTTACTGTATAATTTCACATAATCTACAAGCTGGAAGAAATAAAATGAGCTAACAAGTGCATTCTGATGACCTCTGAAAAATGACATGTCTGAATACTTGTTTGACATCAGCCAGGCACTAACACTTACATTTTAGGGGTTGCAAATACCATTTATTAATATTTCAGAAATGAAATGTATAACTCCACCATTAAAAGACATATGAAAATGTGTAACTTGACATAAATATTATAATAACCATCCCCTGCTTTAGATTAATTACATATGTATAACACCATAGTTTACACACACCCCTAACCCTGACCCTATGGTTAGCTTGATCCATATATAATAATTTTTAGATGTATTAAAACTGATTTATTATCCACTAATTGTAATTTTGCAAAACTAAACTGATTTGTGACCACACTGTACATATTTCACCTCCTAGGAACTTGATGTTGAATCTGCTCTGTTTATAGAAAGCACGATACATTGTCTGTACTCAGTCAGTCGGTTCTTTTTCTCTTTTTCCCCTTTGGGGAGGAGTTTTCAAAGTGTCAAATGTACTGCTCAGTGCTGAAAAAGCACCTGTCTAGAGACATTTAGGCATCTCAATATTTAGATCTTGGTTGATATAAGTGTCATATAGGAGTGATTATAAATATAATGGAATAAACCTTTTGTGTTTTTACATTTTTAAACAGTGCTGAGCTAAAGTGTGGCTGAGCTAAATGTTTGCTAAGTGTATAATTTGTATAATCTTTGTTGGACTACAGTGGGGGAAAATTTAAATCAACTTAATTGACATGGCAATAAAGTATTGAATCTTGAATCTAATTTAATGGCTTGAATTTTCTGTGAGGAAATCTCACAGAGATTCTACTCTGGATCAGCAATTTGTCGTCCGTTATTGGAACAATAGGACTGATCAGTGCATATCAGGGTCATATCAACCAGTTCTAATAACATAAATGTCAGTAACAAAGGAACATACTGTATGTTCCTGTTCTTTCTGATTGAGATCTGATTCTGATGATTTTGAAAACCAATACTCATTTTTTTGGCTCATACTCTTATCCATATAGTTGTACTGTTGCACCGGTTTGTATACATTTTTTACATCAGGGCATTATAGTGGATCAAAATGAACAAATTACCTTGCTCAAGGGTACTTCTGCACCATCACACTCAGGATCTGAACCCTTAACATTCCAGTACAGAGCCCTAACCACTCCTTCACACAGCTGACACATTTTTCACATGGCTGTAAAGAATATACAGTACAGTGGAGAGTGCTGTAATGGAAGCAATCAGTCGTAAATGATCCAGTGTTTCCTTGATTAATAGAGGCAATGAGTCACTAACAAGTAATTAATGTGATTCTAGCTTTAAGCTTACTATCCCTGGAGCAAAAAAAAAAGTTTGGGAGAGGAGACATTTGACCCATTTACAGTACCTTGTTATTATGGAAAAATGATTTGACGAAAATTTTGAAGAATTACAATCTCATTACACAGAGAATATGAGACTCCCAAAAGTCAAAAGAGGTAAACCAGTCAAATGCTCATAATTTGCTAGAACAGGTACGTGCCAAAGGTTACCTCAGATTGCAGACAGAAAAGCTGTGTTCATGGTACTAGGTTCAAATTGAGCGAGGTTCAGGGGAGCTAGTGGACATTGACATCAGGGTCCGGGAAGAGACTAGAAAGAAATCTCCATGACACCTGATTTTACTTTTGAACTTAAAGAGGGTGATTTTGTATTTCAGCTCAATGAATAAAACAGCCCATGTGTGCTTTGGAATTCCAAAACTAGTGGACTTTTTCTACTATGGAGAAAAGAGTGAAAAGTGGGCCAAACACACTTTTTTTTTAAATTGTCCATTAATACTCCTTTATACTTGTCGTGATTTGGAAGAGCCATTTTCAGTCACCTGGAAATCAGTCATTTTCTTTAGTGCAACGATTCTTCATGCGCTTAAGCCTCACAGCTTATACAACAGCTCCAGCAGCAAATTGGAGTGATGCAGCTCTCTCACTGACCCTGGGCAGTCAAGAGTTTGCTGCTGTGTGACAGGCTGAGGATACCCTAGTCGACTCTAGTTAACCCATCCTCTCTGGCTCTTGGCCAGAGAACAGTGTGCTACAGCTTGGGGAGTCCTGGGCCCAGTTTGCTGTGTGCATTCAAACAATTACTCTGTCGCAGTTACCCTGTAAATACTCATTAGTGATGCGAATGGATAAAATAATCACATTGCCACTGTGCTGAACTAATTCCGCCCTTAGGGATTAGTACAATAGTACAATACATCACTGATATTAGAGATGTTGCCGGTTCGAATCCCGCGGCCGGCAGAGGAATCCTACTCTGTTGGGCCCCTGAGCAAGGCCCTTAACCCCAACTGTTCCAGGGGCGCCAGGGTAAGAAATTCTACATTTACAGTATATGGCCAATAAAGTGATATTAAAAAAAATAGTTAAGAAAGAGAAAAATGATTGGCATTTTGATATTGTATGCAAAAAAAGTTCTAGTAATAGGTTTTGATGAACTAACCATGTTAATTCCTCCATGATGATGTAGGGAAGAACTCCTGTTTCTGGAAAAAAAAGGGTTTTCTTAATGGTTGTCAACTAAAAAATAAATTCTACACTCAAGTGCAGTGTAGAATTTATATAGAAAGAAAGGTGATCTTGTGACAACTATGTAAATGTTTCATATTTCATATCATGTTAGCATTACTATAAGAATAGTCCATGAGCATTGTTTGTCAATAATTAATTATTTTATTGGTATTGTCCTCACATGTTGTAGTAACTTATTCTGATGAAGGTTTGCTTTTACTTCCCAGCTTTGGAAACCATGTGGATGTTTCCTTGAGATGTTTGAAAATTAAAATGAATCCCAGTTTATCATGCCACTAGATTTTAAGAATCATCTATTTAGACAGTGTTTTGTTATGGGGTAGACAGTGAGTTTGGTGAGCAAAGAGAATATTCATTTGTACCTTCATTGTTACACTGGGTCACACTGTACCAAGGCCTGTTACTTTTATCCAATGTGTGAGTGCAGAGACAGATGTGAATCAACAACCAAAAGATTTTAAACACAGACTTAATTTGATAAATTATTACCTTATTTGTTAGGAAAAATAATGAAACAAAACAAATGAAAACAGCAGCCAAAATGTTTTAATGTAGAATTTACTTTCTAGCTGACCCCAGGACAGTCTGGGACTAAGGCTGTGAAAAAGAAGAAGAAGAAGAATTTACTTTCTAAATTATAACAGGTCACTTGCCTTATACCATACCAAACATCATTTGAACACAAACATAATGGTAATACTTTATTTTTAACCTTATACTGAACTTTCTATATCCTTGGTTAATAGTACCGCATTTGTTAAACAAAATATAAATACTGAAGCATTGCGCAAACATATATACAGTAACAAAGAATGCATTTTCTCGTAGACCTCGAAAAGAACACTTGACAATATACCAAACCTGTAGTTCTTGCTCAATCCAAGTAAAATGACTAATTTTTGTATAATGTAGACTGGAAAGCCTGAAAAACCTACATTTTGCATTTTATGCATTTCTTGTCTTTGTGGGTAATGATATTCCAAGACAAATTACTTTGTTACACAGCACTACATAGAAAAATCTAACCCTGAAATTATAATGCAGATGAGTATGGAAATGTATTGATCACCTGTCTTTATGTAAAAAAGTAAGATTTCCGTACCCCAGTGCTTCCACTAGGTGGCGGCCATACCCTTAATTTGGCTTCCTTTTTGGGTCTCAGTAAATGTTTCATTTCGTAATCTATCGATAAACTGTGTTATGTAACTTCTGGTAACTTCTTGCAGCAACTGATGTTCTGTAGATGGCAAAAAACAGGAAAAAAAGCTAGATCTCTTACTTTGTGGTGTCTTGCAGCAACACATTAGAGATGCAAAGATAAGCATATTTATTGACTCAGGATGTTCTGCCAAGGAAGAAATATGATCTCATAGTAATGACCTTTCATACATTTAACGTTTAATAATAGCTCCAGACATTAATGGCTACCTAACATATCTGAATTATTTACATACACACTGTATGGATATGTTTGCAGATAGGCTGGAAAGCTGTGGAGTACATTTGCTGGTTTTTAAAAAGAAATGCTGTGAGCATTGTTGTGTTTCTCATAGCGCAAAGTGTAACAATCAGATTTCTTTATATCAAATGACATCCTCATTAGTTCATTTCCAATATCACAGGAACATGGAAGTCTATTGTAACAGCAAATCAAGATATGACATTCTTAACCTCCATTCAACATCTCTTGAATTTGACTTCTAGAAAATGGGACAAAATTAATTTAATACATGGGCTTGATAGAATAAAATAGGTATATTATTTTGACTCATGCATTTCTGTCTGTTGTATAATCATATATTGTACTGGGAAAGTATGTTTAAGATAGTGTGGTTCTGGACTCTGAATTATGCAAGGCAGCAGGGCACTTACAGTACACATTGTATGGATGTTATCCATAATGATCTGTAGATATCACTGAATTGCAATAGATAAAGCAGGAAGTGGGTTTACTGGCATAGTTGGTAGGACTTGAGTGTACCTCCATGTGTCCAATGGAACTCATGCCCTGTCATAGAAGAGCAGTGATGCCCCAACTCTCTTTCCATTTTTCCAGTATACTATCAAAGCAAACTGGATCATTATCTCTCATCAGTGCCAGATTTCCTATTAGGCACTGCAGGCACAGTACCTAGGCCCTATGAAATTTTTAGGGCCTACGAAGGAAGGAAACACTAGTGACTAACGAAAAAGGAGCTGAAGCAACATGCTTGTGATCGACTCTTGGTGCTCCAAATCAATAATATCTAGGGGCTGTTCTAGAAACAAGAAGTATGGAAGTGATGGTCACTCAATTTGCTCCATCAATCAAGTGGTTTAGCATTAGAATAGTTTAAGGTGCATCTTGTCAATTGACGTAATTCAGTTGGCGTGTCCCCATCTTTTTGCGCATTTCGGAGTGAAAGTGCCCAGGGCCTACGAACACCAAAATCTGGCCCTGGTTCCCATAACTAAACAGCCTTCCAGAGAGCTCTCCAAGGCTGCAAGTGGGCATTAGTCACCCAGAAGAATCTGTATGTTTTGGACAGAAGTTCCAGCTCCTTTGTTCCAGAATTACAGTCCTCAACCTGATATAAAGATGCCACAGATAAACAGTGCCACACCCACACATACCCAGTGTTTGGAAACTGGGAACACCCTGATTCATCAGGAAGAATGCGTGTTCTGAAAGACTGGTGGATATGGCAGAACATGTGTTGCTCATTGTAGTCACTAGCTGTCATTGCAGTCGGGTTACAGGAGGTGTGATGTTTTCTTGCCTCTGTTTCACTGTAACCCGTACAGGGGAAAAAATGGGTCTGATGACTGGTGGGTCTTGTGAACATGTTTACCCACAATCTGAGTCACTGTCATGCTTGGCTTTTGGCTTTTCTTGATGGTTGAGCTTTCCAGCTGTGTATACATTAGTCAGTCTTTTTTCATTGTCATTGTCCATCCTTGTCATGGCATGTCTGTCTTCAGAATGATGCTTCTTTACTCAACCTTACCTGTTTTTACAGCTACTGTAACAATCGCATGGTTATCATTTACCTGGAATGGATAGGATTATTTAGGGAGTTTGCTATACAGTATGTGTTATTAATCCATTAATACTGGATATGGGTCACATAATTCAATGGACCAATTTGGAAAACACTATGCACAATAAACACAATAAGGTTTCATGGATCTGTTCTGCAGACAACAAAGCAAAACTAAATTAACATTGTCTTGTTGTCTTGATAAAATATGACATAATGAAAGAATTCATAGAACATTTCTGTAGTAAACAGGAAGATTGTCTATAACACATGACTATTATAACAGAAACATGGGATAAACTAATACATGAAGTTTGTTCTGAAAATATTTGACCATCTGTAGTCTTTCCAGGTAAAACTGGTCTTTGTAAGACACCTAGCTTATGAGTGAGATCTGTAATTGCAACAGTCTTATGCTGCTTTTTGAAAAAAGATGTTTTTGCATCTCCAGCCCTACTCCTGGAGAACACTGGTCCAGTAGGTTTATAAGGTAATCACCAAATTCTAAAGACTTAATTGTGTTCAGCTGCAGGTGATTAGTTAAATTATGTAATTTAGAAATTGTTTGGAAGCAAATGTCAGCTATTTAGGACCACTGTTCCCTTAATTGAGCACATTACATGCTTGATTGATCTTTAACATACAAGATTCTCCATCTTTATAAACAGGTGATTCAGGGTGACCAAGAAGACACCTTGGACTGGGGCGGTCCAGGACCAGGGTTGGATCAGAGAGATTCCCACAAACGTTTTTAGAAAAGGTAGAGACTGAGTATTAAAATAGTCACGGTGCTTGTAAATAAAGCAACGTACCATTTTCATTTGAGAGGTCTTCCTGTGTCTGCAGGAAGATGGCGTCTAAAGAGCTGAGCCAGCTTTTCCCCTGGCACCCCAAATTTGTAGAAATGCCTGGGCACTTGGCAAAATGCCCAGCTGCTCCAAGCAGATGCCAAAGTAGGTTCAAATTTGAAGTAATTGTGCATCTGCCCAGCCACTTAATCAGCTGCCCACAGCCATGTTTGTATTCAGTCTTTACTCTGAAAGACATAGGGCTCCAAATGAGCAAATCATCAGAAATATGCATGCCCCTGATGTAACAAGAACACAAGACATTGAATAAGAGATTGGTTATGTCCCATGGTGTTATTTGTGGCATAGAAAAGTGAAGCTAAGACATTCATGGCTTCTTTGAAATAAGGAAGTGAATTGTTGTGCATCTTGCGATCCAGGAGCCCTTGTTAAGATAAAGGTAATCATGAATGCCAAAACCTCCCAAGACATTTTAACCAGTGACCTGAATGCTTATTTTTCCTCTGCCAAGAAGCTGAAGCTTGGCCAAAAATGGACATCCAGCATGGCATGTCTAACAATCCAAAATATACATTGAAATAAAAAAAGAAATTGATTACTCAATGGATGCACACAAAACAAATGTTCTTGACTGGTCAGCTCAATCTCTACACCTCTATCCAATCGAGACTGGATTGTGATTCTAAACCAAGATGACAGTTCATTCTGGTGGAATGGTCATAAATACCCCATCAGAAGTCTTTGTAATCTGTGCCAGAGGGGTGTGAAGATCCCTTAGTTCTCTGAAGCTAAACATTTCTAACAGATAATGACTTTGCATTGTGTAATTGCAGATTCCAATTTAGATGCTATTTTTGTATGGTCCTGTGTGTCTCCTGATACACTATCCAGTACTCAACATTTTCTTCTAAATACAAATGAAAAATTCCTTTATAATTGGTGGAGTTAATAAACCTAGAGGATAGTGCTGAGATACAGGAGAGAAGCAGGTGATACTCCTGACGTGTGAATTGCGAATCTAACTTTTTGACATGTTGTGTTAAAATCAATCGAAAATGCATGTTTAAAAGCATAGCATCAGACTTTGGCCATTAGTTAGATTTGCTTCTTTCCTCTGCCACAATGTGAATATTTTTTTTTATTGTTGTGCATTTAGTATACTTTATATTAGTTTATTTCATAACAGCAAAAATTATTACAAATGAGAGAAGGCCATTTGGCTCATATATCTTGTAAGGTTTTTCCATAGCTAATTAGTCCAAACATCTCATCCAGTCATTTCTTGAAAATAGCCAGGGTTGTGGCTTTGATAGTATGCCTGGGTAGTTTGTTCCACATTTCCACATTGTTTAAAATGTTTCTCCTCGTCTCATTTCAATACAGGGAATCACATCTTACACACGTCCTGCGGTTTGTATTCCACTGTTAATTATAAAGAAGTCTATTGGGTTGACTTTGTCAATGCTTTGAGGTTTTTGAATGCTTGAATCAGGTCCCCTGATAATTTCCTCTTTTGAACACTGAAAAAATTCAGTTCTTTCAGCTTGTCAGTGAAGGACATTCCTCAAGCCCAGGAATATATCTGGTTGCCCTTCTCTGGATGGAATCCAGAGCAGTCATATCTTTTTAGTAATGTGGTGACCAAAATCGTGCACTATATTGTAAATGAGGTCTCACTTGTATTATAATACATCCCTTTATGGTAATCTTACAACTTTAGCCATATTGTTAAACTATGGCTGCTTTTCATTGCATCTACACATTGGGATTCTTCAAGTCAGGTCCTGAGTTGAATCATAAATTTGAAATATTTTGGCATGCAATACTCTGCGCTTATCTACCAGTTGTTGACAAAGTCTTGAATAATGTCTAAATCTTTTTACATTTGCTTTGCCCACTTCTATGTTGGTATAATTTACAGTACTCAACTAGTTTGCCTGCACAGCAAACCCCATTTTAAAATTTACCCCTTACCTGTCCTCTATTTTATATCTAATAACCACGTGCAATTTGTAAAATTAACACCTCTTGATAAACTTATCAAATGCCTCTGAAATCTAATATGCTGTATCATAAGTACTAAGTATAAGTTTGTATCCAATACTGCTGTTTCTTCAAAGAACTCACCAAGTTAAACAAAACATTTTCTTAATTCATATCGAGTATCCCGTAGAATTCTACTACCCTACAGATGATGCTCTACTTTACTTCTGATTATTGTTCCATAACTTTACATGAAATAGAAGTAAGTCTTATTGTTTAGTAATTTTTCACCCTATTTATGGATGAGTTCTGTGTTAGCAATTTCCCAATCAATAGATATCACGTCTCTCTTAAGTGACTGCTGTAAGTTTTGTTTAACGGCCTTGACGAGCATCTCTTTAGCAGTACATTTAACAGTATAATATTGGGCCCTGGAGGTTTGTTTTTCTTATTGACTTTAGTACTGGATCACTTTTGTTTCTTCTATGTTAATATTATTTAAAGAACTTCAGCCTTGCTCAGTCTAGTTCTTACTTTGGAAAACACCAGAGGGAAATATTAATTTAATACATGAGCCATTTCTCCTTTCATCATCTAAAAGCTTGGCATCTTTATCTCTTAGACACTTTACTTAATCTTTCACTGTTCCGTTACATTTATAATATAGAAAACGTGTACATTTATGCCTCCATTTATGAATGTTTGCAAATTATTGTATTACTTTTCTTTAAATGGGCTCTCTTCTTTTTTCATTAAATGTTTTCTTTAATAAAATGAGTTCTGTAATGCTTTCTTTTGCTCTGTATTTTGCTTAATTGATTTATTAAACCATTTGTTTAATAGTTTATTAAAAACAGCCATTGATCTGAAGTACAGTAATATGCAATTATACTGTACATTAGTATCATTTGTTTCACTTTAATTAACAGAACTTAAAATAATACCAAGGATGGTTTACAATTAAATTGCTTATTAAATTACTACAAAAAAATAAATAAAACATCATTCTACAGAACAAAAGACTGCTTAAACAATCACAAATACAGTAACTGGTATTAACAGAAGCCTACAAGTTAGCCCTGTAATAGAAATGAGTGCTGTACTAGAAATGCAGTAGCCAAAAGCATAAGGAATACAAAAATGCACTACAGGAGACTGCAACACCCAAAATAAACAAAATAAGCGTGGAGTATGATTCTTATTTTTAACTAAAAACTGGTAAGCAGAAGATGGATGTGGATTAATAACTCACAGCAACTCAGACATGCTTGTTTAATGTCAAATGTGGTATTGATCTATGCTAACAGTTAAATTATTTTTCTCAAATGTTTGTGTTACAATGGCTGTGCTCAGTGGGTGGGGAGGACAAAGTCTTAAGACTGCCTTCCTTATATAGTCCAGAGCTAGGTCTCCATTTGTGGGTCAAACACTAAAGAAACAATTAGCGATTCCTAATTAGTCTCTCTAACTAGTTGGTATAAAATGAAAAATACAAATGGTTTGGAAAATGTTTGGAGATTTCTTTTAGCCAACATGTCATGCCTCATATTTTTAAGACAGTCATTGTGCTGTGATGAAACAGCTTGTTTCAGGGGGTTCTAGAGATGAAGCTAGCAGTGTGTCCATATCCCTGGGATTTGAGAGAACAAGGAGTATTAACAAATGAGAAATATTAATGACAGATAACCTTGTCAGGCCTGCTCCAACAACCAGCCAGCACAAGGGAGTTCCCCTGTATGGAGACTTTTCTGGGGGAAACGAGGGAGGGAGGGTGTAAACATTGTTTTTTGGGATATCTCCTGGCAGGAGCTGATGCCAGACTCTCACCACTAGAGTCGGTGCCTTTATTTCCTCACAGAAGCTGTCCTTGCACCGGCTTGTACAGATCACAAACTAGACAGTTACTCCAATCCCAAATCTGAGTTCTTCATGAACCCCGGGCTGGGCATGTGACCTCCACAATATCAACACGACACAAATTGAGATAACAGACTGGGTTTCATTCCATCTGAGCTCTTTGGTGATTGCAATAGATGTTCACTTAATTCAGCTACTTTAACTAAATCAGGTGATGATTTCAAGAAAATGTTAAAAGAGTTTTCCGTAATCCCAATTTCTGCTACACTGTGGATCAGAAACATATAGATATATTCAGCCATTTAAATGGAATAAAGAGGTCAGGCAGCCCTACGTAAACCTGGTTAGAAAGGTCTCTTGGACAAATTAGCTGATATCACTATTAGCTTTAACGAGACACATCCATTAGTAAAACACATAGCCTCCTCAGTCCCCAGAGACCAGTAATAAAAAGTATCTGATTGATATTTAGACACCTCTTTATTATTGCAGGAACAACAATACTCATTTATACCCTTAGCCAAGCTTATTAGTGATTCTGCAGGGTTAGCTTTTACAATATTGTAGGCCGAGGAAAAATAATTGCTACCTACAATATACTTACAGTAAATGAGGAAGACTGAAATGAGGTGAGATTTTAAGAAACTCTGCAGATGTAAGGTTACAGTAGACAAAATTAATTATAAAAAGGACCAATCGAAAGAAGGTTAGAAAAGAAAAAAAAAGGTATCACAGAGTGGTTAGGTGTAAGGTGTTCAGGGGGACTTATCTGTAAAATAAAAAAAACACTTTACAGCAATTCACATGCGTGTTAAACACATACAGTATCATACTGTTGCAATCTGTCTTTGGTATGAGCATGACACCAAAGTACTGGGCATGATTTTCTGCACTTCTATATTTTAATAAAATAATAGCATTCAGTCCAACACATAGTCCTGGTTGGTTTAACCACACTGGCTCCCTTCAACAAATATTTTAGTGTGGTTTTAACATCATATGATCAGTTGGAAGTGTGAGCACTTATATTTGTACAGTAAATTAAAAGTAAGAAATGGAAAGATAAATGAAGCCTGGTGTCCAGCAATTAATTTGAAATTAGTTCTGACTTGAGTAGATGTTTAACATTCAAGTGCCAAGATATGACAAAAAAGTTGGATATGTTAACTTGCATAGCAAAACACTTTGATTCTTGTAATATTTAACCAGTATTAATGAAGACTGCCTTCGTCGTTTGGACAATTTTGGTGCATAGATTCTTTACAATTTTTTGGTGATATGCTATTAAACCACTATTACATAGCTTTTTGGTGGTGCATTTATACCTATTGATAATATATAAAAATAAACAATGATTAAAAATAATAAACCACTTTAATGCACAGCCTGATAAAACCATGATTTGTTTATGACTTAAATTTCTTAAAAACCTGAAATTGTATCATCATACCATTGAACTCAGTTATCTAATTGTAGATATTTAAAATTAAGAGACTGATTGGAACCAGTGAATCACAGTTTTGGTGCTGGAATTTCAAATAAAGTTCCTTTACAATAAAAACAACCACAGTTCAAACCATTAAAACCAAGGTGACTCAATGTCAGAAACCTGGATGGTTGTTTTCTAGATCTGACTCCAAATCACATTGCCAGCTGAGTTGATTCCCAAAGAGAAAGTCACTGAAATTTCCCCAGGCCTATTAAAGGATGTTCTTCTGCATTGCCCTAACCTCACTATGTTTTGTGCACCTCTTCTAGGTGTCTGTGCCACAGTACAATCAAATTCAGATACAGCAGCATGCTGAAGGACTCCCCTTTGCAAGGGCTGCATTGCAAACAATTGCCCAAATACTGGATCCGAACGTTTTAAAAGTATCACACAATGCGCGGTGACAAAGTGCAGCTGTAACACTGGTAAAATTGACCAGTGTTTAAATGTATGATTCATGGTGCATAGGGACTTCTCAATCATTATTCCTTTCCTTGTACAGAACATCTTTATTTTTCAACACGCCATTTTCAATTTCACGTACTTTCCTTGGTTTTGAGATGAGTACGTAGCCTGAGTTCCGTAAGAACGGAGTGAAACCACAGAAGTGAAAACAAAAAACATTTCGTGTTAGAAGGATTTGGAGGATAGAATTTGAACATTTTTTTGGTAAATTGCTGACTGTCTTTGGTTCATATTCTATCCTTTATTCTGAACAGCTTGCACTCTCTTTCAGAGCTTTCAATAAACTACTTCCCCTCAAATAAGCTTAACACTATAAAAAGTGACTCACTCTAAAAACAAAAAAGGGGAAAAAAGCTTCATTTAGGAGCAAACGGTGATTGGGACTCATTAAACTGTACTGTCTTTAGAGACGTTTATCCCATGAGTGGTTTCTGATCGTTTGCTTCTGTCTGCCCTTGTTGTATTGTTTCTGTCTTGGAAGCTGAGGTCTTGATTAATTACCTTTAGTTTTCTTTTGTGCACAATTATTTTTTTCAGCTTTGCTCTCCAATAGCATTATGTATTTACAAGTTCAGGAATTACAACTGTTCACCATCCTGTATTTCATTAGAGTTGCTACTTCTTTCCAGAATCCCACAGGAGCATTATGAAAATTATCTGGGGGCCATTGGACGTCATTTGAACCCTTGATTATGGCCAACAAAAGTGGAAAGTTTACTGAAGTAGCAGAAACATCTGATAGTACTGATTCAATATTTCTTTCTGATGCATAAACTATTAAAACCAGGCACATGAATCATAATATAGTCCTTTTTACTTTCTTTTTTATGTGCTGTAGAATCACCTCTTTTCTTTTCTTCAGGGTATGTGCCATTCTTTCCTAGTGCTGTCTAACGTCATTTTGTTTGATGATTCTGGAAAACAGAAGGGAGTTGGTTTTTTAATAATATGTGAATTGTTTTTAGATCCTTAGCTTGTTCCAATGTGAAATTAAAATAGTACATTTTTTATGTTCTGATTTGGCTTTCTCTGGGCAGTATGGTACATTTCCAGGTTAAAGTACAAGTGTGGAGAACTTTACATTTTTTACGTTTTTTAAAGAGCAATTTCAAACACATGCTCATTCTGTACTGTTTTAAAGCTGTTTGGAATGAGAGTAGCTTACTGTAACAAACATAATGGATTGCATGATATAGACTTTTTTAAATGACAGAACATCCTTGTTAAATAACCTGTATAGATTAGCCCCAGCACTGCATGTCAAGTGAAGACAGTTTACAATAGATATACAGTACAGTCTTGCAAAGTGTCAATAGGCTTAGCCCATTAATACACCTCCTCTTTTTTGGATTCAGACACTTTCTCCCAAAACAAACTGAAATATTTATAAGCTGGCTTCTTAGTCCAATACATTATGTAAGTTGAGCACTTTGTAGGATTTTGTTTCCTGAATTTTTTCTCTTCGTGCGTCATAGACCATGGATAAGTTAAGGCTAAGAAAGGTTTGTATTATCATATAGAGATATAAAATGTCTGAATATTAAATGCATTAGTCACAGATCAGTTGAGCCCTGTTGTATACCTACAGAAGCTCTTGCATACAACTATGCATTCTGGCAGGAAATTCAGTGGGATTTCTACACAGTCCTGAAGGTTTTTAATATTTGTTCTTGCTCAGACCTTGATCAAGTACTTGTTTCATGGTTAAACCATGCCAAAGACTGCAGTGAGAACGTCTAGAAAAGACTATTATCCCTTCTCATAATAGCTAAGCATTGCTTAGGTAGGAAAGCAGAAACATCTTAAAGATTGCGTTGGTATTAAGCATGTCCCAGTGGTTACTAGTTGGTGGAGCCTTATTGTGCCTGGAGTTGAGTCCACTAGTGCATCCTTGACTTTTGTTATGCCAGCGGCCCCTGGGAGTGACTGCGTGCCTGTGTGTCATCTTGGAGACACCTTGCGCCTCATGGTGGTGTTAACTGCCAGATGGTTTGTGGATGTAGACTGTGTTTGTTTGTGGAAAGTGTTGAAAGTCTTCATTGTTCCACTGTGGGTACAGGGGCTCAAAATAATGTGATGATTCATCAACAATTGCAGATTACAGATTGGAAGGGATATAAAACAATTGGCGATTCAAAATGTTGGAAAGCAAAAACACATTGAAAGGATATTTGGGTTTGTTTAGCTTTTTTTGTAAAATAAACCGCAATCACGGTGCTGTGTGTGTATCTGTACAGTAAATATATAATTTAGGACAAATGCTGCTTTGGAGAGTGGCTGTCATAGTCTGTTGTTTTGGTCAATATCAAGAGAAAAATAAAAATAAATAATTAGGACAAGTAACAAACTGAAAGAAGAAGCCCTCCAGCCTACAACAGGAAAAATAAGACTAGGAAAAGGATCACCTGCACATGGATTAGGAACTTCTGAAATATGAGCAGGAGATTCTTATTTTAATAAACAGTGAAACAACTGTTTATTAGTTTCATAAATAAGTATAAATATGGGGTTAATAAAGTTCTGAATTACTTTATATCTGGCTTTAGCCATTTTTCTTGCCTCTGCCAGTTATTTGATTGATGTCTTGTACCTAAATTGGCTTTTGCAAATTTTCTAATGTCTCTTTTTAAAATTTAGGACCCCAACTAGCTCTGTTGGTAGAGCTTGAGACTCATAATCTCAGGGTAGTGGGTTCGTGTCCCATGTTGGAGGCTGGGCACAAGGCTAAGAAACCTGTCCTGGAAAAAACGAATGGTATTGAAAACGGCAACAGGATGATACTCCCCCTACAAGCCGGAAGGCAAAATGGGCAAACAATCCGGATCCATTGTTTTAAAATTTAACATTCCCAGAATCAAGTGCTTGCATCCTCCACCACATGTACCCTAGGTAAGTGAATATACAGTGCTTTGCAAAAGTATTCTGACTTCTGAATAGTTTTCTATTGCATTAAGAACTTGTAGTCATGACACTTTAAGTGTTCTTACAGATTTCTAATCAGCTTAGGTCTTTTTTGTGTAAAGCACTAGAAAGACAACTGAAAGGAGCCTCTCTGATAAGCAGCATATCTCAACTCTGTAACACAGACCATGGCATTGTAAAATGAAACCATTCTCAAAGTTCCCTATTGATGGCTTCTTTCAGACTGGTACCATTGATCAGAGGTCATGGCACTGAAATGATGACCAGTCAATGAACAATAGCCGTGTATTTTTAGGAAACCATAGTTCAGAAGACTGCTAACTTACTTGGAGACCTGTCTTCAGTAACAGCCAGGTGAAGCTCCTCTTCTCCTACTGTACCCTGGCTAACCCCTGGCTCACAGCCAGCCATCTGAAGGAGATTGGACCACTGCACCAAACCCAGTGTCTTCACAGGGAAGTTCAGATTTCTTGAAGAAATATTTGGCCAAATGTTCTTCGGGGATAAAGGTTCTGTATTCACATTTTAATTGTTGAGAGTTGAACTAATATTCCAGACATCTTTGATAAAGTTTCATTCACAATATTAAATTAACATTTGCTTATTTTTGTGAAAGTGAATGAAATTAAGTATTTTAGCAGCCATGAAAGCATTCTTCCATTTTACTGTTCCAATTTCAAATTGTTTCAGTAAATTAAAAACCCTCACACAACTGCATACCCAACCTACTCCAACCTACCTAAAAACAAGAAAGAAGTAAATAGATAATATGAAATTAAAATGAAAAAGTAATGACTGTATAAGTATTCAAACCCTTTAATGTTTCAAACCTAAATTGCTCAAAATTACCTCAGCAAGACAAGCAATGAGATGAGTGGCCTCCATCTGTGTGCAATAACAATGGCACTGATAATAACACAATAAATACACCTGTGTCTATAAGATCCCTCAGTCAGGTAATGAACCTCAAGCAAGAATTCAACCTTGAACACCAAGAAGCTTTCAAAACAGCTCAGAGGACTCTCCTGAAATCGAGAGTACCTTAAGAATATGTGAAGACCTTTGAGTGGCCCACTCAATGATTCTACTCCTGACTCGATTCCTATTGAGTATCTGTGGAAAGATTTGAAAACTGCTTTTAATAATCGATCCCCAAGCAGCTTGAGAGAACTGGAGCAAATCTGCCAATAAGAATGGGCAAAAATTGCAAGTTATTAGGCAGAGATGGTAGAGACTAACTGAAAAAGAATTGTGGTTGCGATCGCTGCCAAAGGTGCTTGCACCAGAAATGTGATTTTACAGAATCTGAATACTTATGCAGTGAACATATTTCAGTTTTGTCACTTTAGTTTATGCTGACAAGAAAAACAGGAAAGAAGTAAATAGATAATATGAAATTAAAATGAAAAAGTAATGACTATATAAGCATTCAAACCCTTTGCTGTTGCAAACCTAAATTGCACACCTTTGCCACAGCCAAACAATTAGATGAGTGTCTGTAATGAGTTATTTACTGTAACTTATATCACCCTTAGATGTCTTAAGTTTCATCTTTCAGGTCTTGACTAAAATATTTTGTTTAAAAAGTGTGTCTGCATCATTTTGAAATTTCACAAAATGGAATTCCACAAGAAAGGTCTGAATACTTGTGCAAGTGGTACTGTGCTACTTTACATTTTTTTCTGGTTTGGAAATATACTCTCTATATTTTACTGTAAGTAATGGAGCATGTGTTTTCTTTAATCTAACAGCCCGCTCCAACCTATTGAAAACACCAGAAAGTATTCTTTATATTCTTTTCAAAAGTTGAATACATGTCATTTGCAACAGGACAAAAAAAGGAGATCCCACAGAATTAGCAAGAAACCCGACTCGCGTTTGATTAACAATTCAGTTTAAGGCTAATTTAACTAGGTGCACAGACTGTACTGTGCGTGTTAATCTTCAGCCTTTCAGAGTTAAAAAATGGACTTACTGTAATTGTAGAATAAACTAAATACAGTCCTCTAATTGATCATGATTAATTTGGCCCTGTGTTTATAATGAATGGCCCTTTGACATACGTGTTTGTTTTTGGAATGTAGTATAATTTTAATGGAACTGATCTTTTTCCACAAAGCTGAAACTGGCATGTCAAAAGGTCTAAGGGTTTTCCTTACACAGCAGTGCTAAAACATGGGTCGCACAGTGGCCCAGAGATTAGCATTGCTGACTCACAGTGCTGGGGCTCTGGATTTAATTGCCAGAAGGCTATCTGCGTGGAGTTTGGATGTTCTCCCTTGATCTCCTGGGTTCCCTCTGGGTCTTCCCGTCCTGTCCCATGGTCCAAAGGTTAAATGGCTTTGTGTCCCATGGTCCAAAGGTTAAATGGCTTTGTGTCCCGCAATGGACTGGCGCCCTGTCTTAGGTGTGTCTTGCCTTGTGCCTGCTGTTTGCCAGAATAAGCTCTGGGTCCCCTGTGACCCTGTATTGGATAAAGTGCTTAGAAAAAGGGTGGATGGATGGAAGGAACAGGGCTGAAAGCTATTCTGAATGTTAAATTGCAGAAATCAAGACTAAAACTTTTTACTAAAACCTGAAACTGAACTCTTTCTTAACTTTAACATGATCATTGTAGATTACGCCGTTACTTTACTCACCAACCTAACACTGTTCTCCTCTTCAACATTGGTATCTCGTTAATGCATTGTAAAAATCTCTGTGCGTCTTTTAGCTGCAGCGCAGGTACAGCCAAGTTAGAAATTGTTGTATTACCACATGCAGCGAGAACCCCTCACAAATGGTGGTGGTGGGGGTTTGGCTAGTGGGACCACCCTCTGCTTCTCCCCCTTGTTCACGCTAATTTAATTTGGGGCCCCTTCTCCGAATATTCTGCCAGGTGGGCTAAATTGTGTTTAAGCTTTGTGAGTGAATAACAGTTCACAGGGGAGTGAACTGGTACCACTGTGCTTATTTTTGCTTATAACATGAGCCAGATTTCTACGCAGGTTCT